GCTTTTCCATATTACCCATTCAGTCATTTTTGATAGTCTTCTCCAGATTCTTTGTCTGCCCATCCCACACCCCGAGCTGTACAGTGCTTAGAAATTAAAGGACTGCATGCACTGTCTCATTTGGTAGCAGTGAAAGAGTTACATTAGCATTTTGGGTTAACTTATTATGAATCATCCTCAAATCTGTTCGTTTTACATATTTATGTAGTCCTAATCTCAGTTGTTGGATACATGAAGTTTCACACGTATCTGCTCCTGAAAGGATTCCAAAGCTGTCATTAGCACTCAAGATTATATGGATCTAGGACAGGCAGGAAGAGTTTAGTCCTATAAAAAAAATCTTGATAGCTTGAGGCAGAAATAATTTCATGATTCATTCTATACTCTTCTCCCACACCAGAGCATTGACATTTTTTTGTTTTCTCTCATTTTTCCATAGCAACTATAACGGTCACAGAAAATATTAGATGGACGGCCCTTATTAATACATTTTCCTGCCTACAAAACAAGTACGAGATTGACACAACCTCCCTTACACTTCAAATCCTGACCTAGGTTGCCATCCTCTAGTCTTTATATCCATTATATCTTGTCGTTATTATTCCTAATAGTCTCTGCAGGAGCAATTCTGAGGGTGTTATATTTTAAATGAATGGTTATCTACTGAGAATGTAACAAAAACATACACTTGTCAACTTGGAGATGACTGCTCATCTGGTTTAGATTTTAAGCAGCAGAACCACCAGGCTGTATTTCCCATGCTCTGAGCCATTCGGCTCACATAGTGTTCAATTTGAAGGAAGTCTCTGCATTAGAATTTGACACTGATATCGCACACTTTAAGTATAAGGAAAATGCATACAATTTCCTTTTTAAAACAGCATGAAACGGACCATGCTTACACATCTCACAAGCTACCAAAATGCACTGATACATATTTGAAGATGTATGAGTTGCTCTTGCAGTTCACAGGCATACATGCAACATGCTATAAAACTCTGCAAAAGTCTCCTTTTAGAAATCTAACCTTCCAGTGACAGAAAACAGTAAATACAGCTTAACAGGTTTGCAGTGCAGGGCTTGGATATCATCCATTTCCAACATGATTTATTTATTTTTTTAAGAGTGGTGGTTGGAAAAAGGGAGTTATCACATTTATTTTACAACATACTGCCTGTGACCCACAATTTATAGTCATAAATGACTTATGGCTAGGATTTTCCCCTGTACTTTTAGCTTGGAGAATAATTAGAAAATCTGCTCGGAGCTTGGCAGCCAAATCACCAAGCAGCAACAAAGGCCAAAATCTACTGCCATCTATGTAGCTAGTATAGGGTGGATACTGCAGTTGATCAATGTGAATTTGGGAAAAGCAACCCACCACAGTTTGAAATAATGAGATCTATGATGTTTCCTGTGGATTTTGGATGTATTGCTTACACAGAGATATTGACAATTGCCTCCTATAAAGGCCCTTTTCCTAGGAGAAACAAGCCCTAAGTATGACCACAAATTCTTTTTGAATTTGTTTTTCCACTAAAAGGAATGAATAAGTTTACTTCTCAGTCAATACTATTATTTTAGTTATATCTGAAGCCAGGCAGACAAGACACCATGCATTGATTTAATGAGTCAAAGATAAGAGAAGCAAGAATGTATATTTAAAAAATTAATTTTCTTTTAGTTTTGAATTAAATTACATTTTCATTTGTGTTCCCAGTTTAATAAAAAAAAAATTCTGAATTTATAAATTCACCTGGCCCTTGTAAAGACTGGATTACATTATCAGCATGTTTTTTTCAGAGACTTAACTGTAGATATAACAATATAAGCAGCTGTTGTTCTTTTTTTTCTCCTTTTTTCTTCTTTTTTGCACTAACTTCCTTTTGAAATTATTCTGCTTTTTTATATCTACTGGCCTACACGCTATTGACTTCTTTTAATATACATTCACAAAAGGAGAACAGTAAAGCGAAGTTGAAAATTCAATTATACCTATTAGATTAAGAGCTAAAGCCATGAATATTTTTATGCAAATTCATTTCCAAATTAGGAAATGTTGCTCTCTGAAAACTTAATACTGAAACAATTTGTTTTCAGTGTACCGTATCAGATTTTGAGAACTTTTTACAGACTTCATGTTTGGTATCGTTGAACTCCTCCTTGGACCACAATACATAACTTCCCTATGTTATTCAGATTCTTATTTAGTTCACTGCACGTGAAAGAAAAATAATTCCCCATTTTTTGAATAGTGAAGGTCTTCATAACTTTTTTGCTAATGTTTTATTATCATAGTGTTTTTCATGCCTTAGATTGCACATCTATGGTAACATGGCCATTTCAAATGCATGATTAATGTCAGACTGAGTTTTTAATGTTTGGCTTCCACAATGTGCAATTAATGCTCTAGAATGCTGTCTCAGTACTGAAAGTTTTGACAAGTGTGGGAGACTTAATACTACATGAAGTAAATATATCCTGAAATTGCTCATGCATTATTAGCAAGATGTATTATCATTATCCCCCTTAAAATACCCATTGAAGGCATATTAAAAGCTTTCAAAGTTGACTTTTTAAAATTACAACTCGTGACATTCTCTTTTGTGTTAATTTATTTTGATTAGCATATTTTTCCAATATTTTTTTAAATTGTAAGGATGGCTTCACTTAAACATTTTTATCTTAGCACCATATACATCAGTTTGGGAGTATAAGATATAAATTTAACATGAATTATTTACTAAAAATTCTTTATCCTTAATGACTTTACAGTTTTCAAACAGGCTAAATCAGTATCTTATTAACATTATTCCTGTGTCTTGATAGGCCTTGTTGCAATACAGAGGACATTAGCATGCACTGCTAATAAGGGGGAACTGAAAGCTAGGCTGTTGTGCTCCCCTTGGAGACTTGTGCTGTAAGTTGTGAGGACAATATGTATAAAATGGTTTTGATAAGGCTACAGATTATAGTCATATTTTGTATTATAGTTGAGTTCAAGGGAAAATGCTTTTTCAGAAAAATAAGTAGGTAGAAACATCTTCAATTACTATTCTCCGCCCAATTCCGAGTGTCATTTTTTCCAGTTTTATCATCATGTTTTTCTTTTTTAAAAATGGAATTCTCTCCTATTAATTGAGATAAAGCCCCCTATGATAACTTCTGAAATATAACTGGACAAGGGAAACAGGAAACTGACTGTATACAGGGTACTGTCAAGAGCGTAATGTAAACAAAAGTAATCTGTCCTTTAAACATTTCTTTCTACTACAGCCATTTTAGGATCCTATGTTAATAATGATAAAGGGGATTTCAGACAAAGTGATTTATAGGATGTTCCTTTAACACTGTCTTTCAGAACTCATATTTTTCTAAACCCACCCCATACTGAGACCAGGTCTTATGCAAGTGGAGTTCTGCCAACAAATCCAAAGCAGCAAGGACATTCCCAGGTAAAGATTAAATGCACCACACACATCCTCCACTACTTTACAGAGAAAGGTCCATTGAGGGAACCAGTTAAGGAAATTTTCTGTGCTCCTCAGATGACATACATTGCACCATTAATGGTGATCATTCTTAGTAAAACTTCCTAGCAAAACTTGAATGCACTTTGAATATAACATGTTAAGATTTTTAAGACTTTTTAGAGTATAGGTATTACTGTATTGCCTTTATTTTTTTTTACTGTATTGCTAAGAGTCTCTGGTTACAAATACACCTTAAGATAAGAGTGCCATAAGCAAAACACGACCATTGCTTGTCAATGTTTAATCACAGGTGCAATCAGAAAAAGGGCTTTGTATTAGGAATTAGAGCTTTTGGCATTAAAGAGGGCAGTAATTTTGAGTTAAGTGCCAGGAGCCAGCAATCTTCTGTTTGGGATTTTCTTTAAGTGCAACCACATTACACCTTAACCTTCAGACCAAAAGAAGCTACTATTCTGTTGCTGTCGTGTCAACTCTGTGCTAGAGGAAGTTCTGCCTGCATCTGCAAACAGACGCGAAGACGAGGAGCCAGCCACAATCTTAGCTACAGCAGTCCTAACAGATCCTTTCCTACACCACATGCTCCTTGTTGGTCCTATTACATAAGGCAAAAACCCCTCTATAGCCTCGTCCTTCTTTTACCCCTATTACAGGGTACAGTCACCTACTCTTGGCACATTTAGGACCTGAGCCTTCACCCTGAGAAATCCATGGGGCCCCAGTCTAGTAGGCACATTCCCCTTTGCTCTGCCTGTTTAGGACCTAATCCTTCATTCTTGGAAATCCATGAGCTCCCTTCCAAGAGGCACATTTTGTCTGCTCTCTGCCTGTTGAAAACCTGCTCCTTCGCCCTTGAAAATCCAGCCATGTGCTCCATTCCGGAGGGATCATTTGCCTCTGCTCTGCCTATGGAGGGACCTGCGCCTTCCCCCTAGGAAATCCGGGGCAGATGCACAATCCATCCCTTGCTGCATGGATGTCCGTAAAGCCCAGAGGTCTGGCATGAGAGTCCCTCACTCCAGCCCCCCGCAAAACGAGGTTTTAAAGTGGGGGGGGGGACTTAACTTGCCACCGGCTACCTACCAAATGAAGGGAAAGAGGGAGGCATTCCCTTTCCTCTCATGTTAACCGAAATGCCCCCCACCCCCCACTTAAGATTGCCCCTGGCAAAGGAGTCACGGGAGGGTCTTCCTCAAAGAGGAGCAGCTATTTGGGACTTCTCCACTGAAAGGGGGACCCTTTGCCATTGAAAGGCGAGGAAATCCTCTGCATTGAAAGGGGGGAGCCAGCCTGCAGGTGCCCGGCAAAGCCAGAGCAAGCGCCGGGCGCTGAAGTTTCCTGGAGGCTTCGAAGCGCCTCCACACGCCGGCAGCAGCAGCAGCCCGCAGCCCCTTCCCCTTGCCCAGGCCGACCGCCGGCCGCTTCGGAGGGCAGGAAAGTTGGTGGGAGCCCCCCCAACACCCACATCCATCCATCCCCGCCAGCGGATCCAGGCCAACCGCCCCCTACCTTGGTTGCCGGCGCCGTGGCTGCAGGCGGCGGGGCGGGCTGCGAGGAGCGGAAAGAAGAGGCCAAATTTCCAGAGCAATCCCCGGGCTGGGCAGCACCCCATGGCGGGCGGCAAAGCGGCGTCCTCCTGCAGGGGCCGGGCTGCCAGGTGCTG